CTGCAATCTTTACTGCATGCCTTCCAACCCGTAATGCACACCTGGGGAGGCCCGGGCCTCTGTTTTATTTAGGGGAGGAGCTTCACACCAAGCTGGGAGGGATCTTTACAGAAGAATGGTATTATTCAGACAAGACAATCTTTACGATAAATTAAGCCAGTAAACCTTACTTAAACCAATATTCCTTTCTTCCTTATTGGGTTTAACCTTCACTTGGATCAAACTGATTGAACCCAGGTCCGAGGGTGTTGCCCTCATTGTCCTTAATCCCATATTCCCAGAATTTACCGCTCCATCTCAAGTGAATATACCACGGGCAGTTCCTCTCCAGAACATCCCTGCTTAATCCCAGTAAACCTGTCCTTGTTCGTCCTCAGGAAGTTTTACTGCCTTGGTTCAAACGTCTGCACGGCCTGCAACACATAGTATTTTCAACAGCTTCATCATATGCATGTGAAAATTGCACAATGAGTAAGGAAGACAAAATAATAATTTATGCATTTGAGTGATGGTGTTGGAGAATATTAAAAGTATTATGGACTGCTAGAAGAACAAACAAATCTGTGTTGAAAAAGTACCACCAGAATGCTCCTTAGAAGCCAGGATGGCCAGCCTTCAGCTCTCATATTGCCAGAGACAGGTTAGGATCCCTGGGCCCTAGACCTCTTTTACATGGCTTCATATCTGCCCCTTTGCCCTAAGTCCTCTCCTTAACAGGGATCAAGAAGAGGAGAAGACATCTGTAGTCCAAGTAGAATAGTCACACTGAGAGGAACAGCCTGGGGCCAGAGATCAAAATAACAAAACCTGAAACCCTGGTAGAGATAAGCAACTGGTCTCAAAGAGGACCAACTTGACAGACAGCCCATAAAAATAGCAGCTAGAGCTGACAACTGCAGGAGACACCCCATTTCCAAAACATCAACAGTCAACATACCACTCCTCCTTATCAGTATGTATTAGCCCAGTCTTGGAGGAGGAGACCCTGTACCCTTTACAAGCCAGTGCACCCCAAGCCCACAGTGTCTTCTCCACTCACAGAGACAGGCCCACCTCTCTTTGAAGTGAACTTTCGCTTTGACTTAATCCATGCTCCCTAATTCCACCAGGTCTTCTCCACTAGGGCAGAAAGACCCACGGCTCTCTTTAAAGTGAACTTTCCCTTTGCAATAAAGAGCTTCCCAGTGATGTTTATTGTTCTATGTGATTGACAAGTGGTAACTCTGTGGAACTAATTCTTTAGGTAAGCCCTCAAGAGCGAGAGGGACAAGGAGAAAATGTGACAATACTTTGGACATATTATCAGGAGGGGCCTGCTAGACATCTTGCTTGGTAAAGTGGAGGATAAGATAAAAAAAAAGAGGAAGACCCCAAAGTGATGAATTGACACATGGGCAGCAGCAGTGGGCGCAAGTGTAACAACAGCCGTGAGGTTGGCACAGGATTGGGCAATGTTCCGTTCTGTTGTGCATGGTGTCGACTCCAAGGCACCTAACAATAATGCTAACGATCCAGAGCACTTCGTATTTGTTGGTCGCCTGAAGGTTTTCTTTGGTGATGTTTCTCTTCATGTCCTCTGGACAAATAATTTCTCTCTTTTTGAGGTGGTCAAGCTTCGTTTTCTTGTAAGTGCCCTGCCTTAGGCTACTTGAGAGCGCGCATGAAAATTCGCAAGGTAGGGTGGGTGCACATGAGGGCTTCGGAGACAGAGAGGAGTGCTGGTGAGCAAGCGTGGACACCCTGGAGGTCCCACGGGTGCACGGGTAGGCGCGACAGGGCCCCGTGTGCCGTGTGGGCGTGCAAGCCTGAACATAATCAGGAGCGCGCCTGAGCTCAGAGTGATGGCAAGCAGAAGTGCGAGCGCGCTGGGGAATGAAAGCAGTCTGGGGGCGCATGCGTGAGCAAGTGTGAGCGCGTCAAAGGCGTCACGGGTGCGCGAGAGTATGCGTTTGCGTGTCGGAGAGCGGAAGAACAGTCGCGCGTGTTTACGTGAGCACAAACGGGAGCAGGACTGAGGCCAACAGGTGCGCAGGGGCAAGCGTGTGCGTGCCGGAGACCGGAGGCAGAGCGTTGGCGCATTAGTCAGCGTAAGTGTGAGAGCGCCGGGGCCCGGAAAGCAGACCGGGTGCGCATGCGTGAGCAAAAAAAAAAAAAAAAGGAGGCGCGCCATATTCCCGAGTGGCACGCGCGCATGCGTGTCGGAGAGCGGAAGCAGGATGGTCGCGCGTTCGTGAGCAAAAGCGTGAGCATGCCAGAGACCAACGGGTGCGCGCGGGCCGGAGGCCGGAAATAGAGCGGGCGCGCGACCTTGAGCGAAAGCGTGAGCGCGCTGAGGATCCAGCGCGTATCCGCGCAGCTCCAGCCCCGTTTGGTCATGGAGGGTGGCCCCGAGGGGCCCGGGCCTGCCGAGGAGCCTGAGCCCCTAGGCGCCGCCTCGAGTGGGGACAGCGGCCACGTGTCTCAGAGCCACAGCAGCGCCTCCGGGCCTTGGGAGGACGAGGCCCCGGAGGCCTGCGCGCCTGGTCTCGACGTGCCGCTACTGCGGCGCGCTGCCAACGGCTATGCCGCCCGCCTGCTGCCCACCGCCCGGGCCGACGTGGACGCCCTGGACGCGGGTCTGGAAGATCTGCTGGCGCGTGTGGACGAGTTTGTGGGCATGCTGGACATGATCCGCAGCGACTCTTCGCACGTGGTGGGCGAGGGTGTGCCGCGTATCCACGCCAAGGCCGCCGAGATGAGGCGCATCTACGGCCGCATCGACAGGCTCGAGGCCTTCGTGCGCATGGTCGGGGGCAGCGTGGCCCGCATGGAGGAGCAGGTGGCCCGGGCCGAGGCCGAGCTGGGCGCCTTTCCCAGCACCTTCAAGCGGCTGCTGCACACCCTCTCCACAGCTGCCTTCCTCCGCCAGGAGCCCACCGCCAGGCACCCACCCGCCGCCTACCAGCCGCCCGCCCTCTTCCGCACCGAGGACCACTTCCCTGGCTGCGGTGAGAGGCCCCCCGTCTGAGTCTGCGCGTTGCGGACCTCGTGGCCTCCCGCACACGCCCTTCTCAGGGTCTGTGCGAGTGCGAGTGCTATTGCGCGCGCAATGTATGAGTTTGTTCTCGACCTTCCAGTCCGAACCGAACGCCGCCTGGTGGTCGAGGGAAGCGCAGTGACCCAGCTCTGCCGCGGCCTTATGGACTCTACAAGTCAACGGACAGTGTTAGCCTTTTCAAAGCAAATCGATTTATACAAGTTAATCTTGAGAACACCTACGGAATCCCCAAAGCCTGGTTCTGCGATGCTAGTCAGTTACTCCGGTGTCTATAGTTTATTTTTAGGCAGCTGCTAAACCATCCGTGCACTGGATTGTATGTACGCTGAAGGCAGTGATACCATGCCTGAGGAAATACATTCATGTCTTGCAACTAATTCTGAAGTTGTATTTGAAAGTATGACTACATAGCAAACGTCAGTATATGGTTGTTGTTGTTATGTGCCATCGAGTCGGTTCCGACCCATAGCGACCCTGTACAGGGTTTCCGAGGCTGTAAATCTTTACGGGAGTAGAAAGCCTCATCTTTCTCCCGCGGAGCAGCTGGTAGTTTCGAACTGCTGACCTTAAGGTTCGCAGCCCGATTCGTAACCACTACACCACCAGAGCTCCTTGGCCAGTGTTTAATAAACATTTTTGAAGTTTATTGCAAACACTTTTCTTCTCCAAAGGACTTTGCATGTGTTCTTTTTTTGTGTTTGTACATGGACATGCGGTTGTGGTTTTCATGATGGTGATGTCTCTGTGCCCTTGGGTCGCTTCTGACTCATAGCGACCCTGAGTGGAGTTTCTGATACCGTATTTCTTTAGGGGAGCAGGAAGCCTCCCCTTTCTCCTATGAAGAAGCTGGTGAATTCAAACTGCTTACCTTGTCATTAGCAGCCAAACGTGTGACCCACTGCACCAGCACGTCATTTGAGGGGTGGGGTCAAGAAGCCTGGCTTGGGGCACACCTGTGAAGTACTAGGACCTTAGTGGCCACTTGCCAACATTCTACATTTGTCCTCAAAATGTGTGACGTTTTGTTTCCTCACACATCACTGTGACTGACTAATGCCCTGACAACATGGAAGGCTTAGAGATCTCTGAGATGCCACAGGCTTTCATTTGATCTCGATCTGGTTTTGAGGGGTCTCTCATAGATGCCAGACTCCAAATAAGCAACCAGTTCAGCTGCTGTTGTGTCATTAAAATAGATCTGTGAGGTTGAGAGAGAGGTTCTCATTTAACTATGTATGAAAAGTCTAGTAATAGAATCGATATCTTAGCTCTCAGAGAATTTCTAGGTCACACGTTTACAAAACAATATAAAAAGATTTTTCCATACATAGAATGTATATTGCTAAAATGGTTTACAACTTGTGATTCATATTAAGAGTAATTAGGATGGATTATGAAAAATGAGAATCATTATGAAGCTGAGATTTTCCATCTGCATAACAGAAACCTTCCATATCATAAAGTATCCATTAACAGGTGCTCAGTAAAGCATTATTAATTAGAAATGTGTTATGTACCATCAAGTTGGTTCTGACTCACAGTGAGGCTGTTTACAGTGTCTGAAGCTGGCAGTCTTTATGGGAGCAGAAATCCAGATCTTCCATCAACATCAGTAATCGTATGAAAATGTATTCTGGTTATACAGAATAATTCTCTTGTGATGTTTTGTTATACCAACATGATACTGGCTTAGTTATTTTATTACATATGAAAAGGGAATTGGATTGAGATTAAAAGTATAATTGTTAAGTCCATCCCTACTCATGTTGTGTGGTTGTTAAGTGCTGTTGAGTCAGTTCTGACCCATAGCAATCCTGTATAGGGTTTCCGAGGAGTAGCTTGTGAGCTTGAACCACCAACCTTGCAGTTCACACGGCTTTGCGATCTGGCGCATTAACTCACAGCACCACACCAAGCCTCCTATTCCTACCCATAATGACGCAGTGTAGGATTTCCAAGGAGCAGCTAGTAGGTTTGAGCAAGCAACCTTTTGGTTAGCAGTCCAAGTCCTATCCTACAGTGCCACACCAGGACTCCTAGAAGTATAATTGTTGATCTGACTCATAGAGACCTTGTATAGAGTTTCTAAGGCTTTAAAGCTTAACAGGGAGCAGAAAGCCTCATCTTTCTCCTGAGAAGCGTGTACCATGGACCTTGTGGTCTACAGTGCTTACTGTATGGAGCTACTGAAGTCCTAGACATATAATTAGAATTAAATTCAGCTTAACAATTCTGAAAGCTAAACAAAAATTTCTGACAATACTGCAAAAGAAAAGCTGACAGATTCATTCTATGATTATATGTTCAGTTTATCGCTAAAGTATCCTGGATTCTGAAATGCTCTTCAGTTCTGAATAGAAATTTGGGTAGGGCCTATTTGTTTGGAATAGGGCCTTGAAACTGGTCTGCATACAATATGACAGGCATTAAGTGAAGATCATTTGTCTCTTGGTATGGAGACTGAGAACCAGACACAGCTACGTCTCCTTCATACCACCACTGTCACCTACTGGCTCCTTCTCCCAACCTGACCAGGCTGAAGAGTCAAGAGACCCTGAGGATTCCTGGAAAACTGCTCCTTCTACCTCTTCTTATGTAAATAAGTTGGGGGGCAGAGGTTCCTGCCTCTGACGCTATAAAGGTGGTGGTTAAGTGCTGTTGAGTCGATTCTGACTCATCGCGGCCATGTATGGGTTATCCGAGGAGTCAGGAGCGTCTGGTGAGTTTGAACCTCTGACCTTGCAGTCCATTGCTTATCCTACAGTGCCACACAGGGACTCCCAGTTATTATCCAATGTGAGCCTTGCAGACCAGGTCTACTGGTGAAGGCTGGAATGCCCATATTTTCTAAAAGGGAAGAAAACCTTAGGTCAGCATCCAAGTTGCGCCCTCTCCCAATCACGCTGGAATCAGTTAACCCTTCACTGCTGAGTTTTCAGGAGCTGCAATGACACGCTGGTGTTAGGACGAAGGCTGTGCACGCACATACTAGACACGAGTGAGCTTTGGAACTTGTGGCTGCTTTTCCCCAGTGCAGAACTGAGGGGAAGATGGGAGTCCATCCTAGAGCATGTTGCGTGTGTACTGGAGTTAGACCACCTGGGGTAAAGTGCCCGTGAACTAGGACAGGGAGACAGCAGTTCAAAGTTGCAGGCCGTATGGTTTCTTAGCAACGACTCAACAGTTGTGTAAGGTGAAACCAACCAACGACAGTAGGGAAGCAAATGATTGTGTGTGTGTTACTAAAACGATAAAAATGGGGCTAGAAACCATCTTAAAAACAACAACAATGAAGGACAATCATACTTCTCAGTTTCTAAACTTACTACAAAGTTACAATAACCCAAACAGTTTAGTACTGGCATAAAGACAGATGTACAGATCAATAGAATAAAATTGAGCATCCAGAATTGAAACTATACATCTACTGATTTTTGAAAAGTGTGTCACAACCATTCAATAAGGAAATTCACTTCAACACATGGCTTGGGAGAAACTGGATATCCACATGTAAGTAATCAAGTTGAACCCCTACCTCACACCATAAAACAGTAACAAAATGAATTAAAGACCCAAATACAAGAGCTTAAAGAGAGCCTCATTTCTCTCCATGCCCCAGGGATACTGATACTGCATACTTTATCGCATTGTACTTTGCATTCCAGATAGTGCATTTTAAAAAGGTGCTATTCTGTTTTGTTTTTTCATAAATTGCAGTTGTGGCAACCCTGTGCTGAACACATCTACTGCTCACTTCATGTCTGTATGTTCCATTTTGATCACTCGTACAATAATTCAGACATTTTCGTAATACGCTTGCATGCTTACCTAAGTTTAGTGTAAATATACTTCCATATACACTGGAGAACCAAACCTGGTGTGGTGCTGTGGGTTAATGCGCCAGACTGCAAAGCCATTTGGACTGTAAAGTCGGCAGTTCAAGCTCACCAGCTGCTCCTCGGAAGCTCCATACAGGGTCGCTATGAGTTGGAACCGACTCAACGGCACTTAACAAGAACAACATTTATTATGATTTCACTTTAGTGCAATGGTCCAGAACAGAATCTGCATTATCTCTGAGGTAGGACGCTATAAACTGTGGGAACCTCCTTTCTAAAGGAGATATATTTTACATGACAAAAAACTTAAAAATAGTTGATTTAAATTTTCCACCCACAATTCATTTTCATGAAGAAGACTATCATGTGTTTTTTTTTTTTTTTTTTTTTTGGAGTCCTGGTGTGGCGCTGTGGGTTAATGCACAAAACTGCAAAGGCATTTGAACTGCAAGGTCGGTGGTTCAAGCTCACCAGTCACTTCTCGGAAACCCTGTACAGGGTCGGAACCTATTCAATGGCACTTCACAACAACATATATATATTTTAAAGGAAAGTAAGTGTCGGCAAGGATGTGGTGAAGTGGACACCCTCGTGCATCGCTCCTGAGAGTGAAAAGTGGTGTTGGTGCTGTCAAAAGCCACCTGGTGATCCCTAAAACAGTAAACAGGAACTTCCTGCAAGATGATGAATGAGGCAAACTCACTACATGGACCCTCTACGACAAAGATACAAGAGACCAAATAAAACAGATGAACATTCTGGTACCCTGGACTTCAGATGCAAGATTAGAGAGGTGGGCTGAGTGCTTGCTGAGAGGAGACACCCAGCAGGGACGGCGAGAGAGGGATTCCGACTGGTGAATGGCCAGCCAGCTGAGCTGTCACCATCTTGTGAGCAGCTCTGGTGGCCGAAGATGTCCTGGCGGAGCAGAGTCACACAGGCAATGGGAAGGTGTGATCCCTTCTCTTTCTCCACGCTCCTCTGGTGACCAGAGGTATGGCTAGCTCCCAGCCTCATCCACCCCCAGCTCAGGTCCTGCTCTCCAGCAGTGTGGAGCCATGTCGGTGGAGCCACGTTAGTGTGAGGCAGTGGCTGGCTGTACCACTGTGCTGTGCTACTTGGGTGCCTTGA